CAGAGACTTCTTGCCACTGGTTTAAAACTTTAACAATTAATCAAAAGACATTTTGCTAGAAAGAAACTCAAATATATATGGACCCTTATTGTTATTTGTTTCTTTTATCTTGGATAGATTTATTTGAAGTTGTTGACCGAAGAGCGAAGCTTGTGGTCGGTGAGAAATCAGATGATTTGCCTGTTCCCACCTCAGGTATATATGTTTGGAAAGTTCATTCTTATTGGTTATTCTCTGTTACAATTAATGTTTAAAAGGTGACATATCTACTGCTCCTCAAAATGCATATTCTATTAAGTATTAATGTGGATTCTGTAAGGCCATCTTCAGACTTGGTCTCGAATCTCAAATTACTAAGACCCAAAAAGACAAAAAAGATGACACAACAGATTTTCAATATGTTTTGTATGCTCTGGATTTTGGGTTTTATAACAAAGATATTTGCATTTAGTTTTTAGTAAAAATGACAAATGCTAAATTTTTCTGGTTAATATTATTTACATGTAACTAATATACATCTGTTCATACTTTTTTTACGAATATTTTGGTCTAAAAAACTTAAAATTCAGATTTATTGGCCAGTATGAGTAACATTTTGGATTTCCTTAGATACCTATATTTTATTATTTGAAATGTTACTACTAATAACGAAATATTAGTAATCATTTATAGTAGTTGTTATTAATAATATATTGGTGCTAAATATCATTATTATCAATCTATTTTTAATAAGAATGCTCGGTTTCAGATGCATATAAATTATTGGCTAAGAGTTGATTAGTTAGTGGGTTGTATAACGAGTGTGTGTGTGTGTGTGTGTGTTTATGTATTGATTGTGTGAGTTAGTGGTGAAAGTTTGGACTATCAGATTACATTTTCTCCTACAAATCTATAATTGAAGCCGTGGGTGCAAGTCCACATATGCACAACACATAGAATGACTGAATCATATTCTTTCTTCTCACGTGGGCTATCAGGCAGTACTTTCATAATACTTCAGGTGCCTTTTTTGTCTCCTTGAGATCCACATGTACAGATAGTCTAATATTATCTTAGCCTACCTAAAAAAATACTATCATGAATGATTGTGTGAATTATGACGACTCCAATGTTATGTCCACTTTCCTAATTTTTTATGCTCTATGTACTTATCAAGTTTGATTGATCCAACTTCAAGTGTGAAACTCGTGGAATTGAGTGAAGCAATGTTTAGTTTGAAAATTCATGAAGCAGATAATCAGCTTACTAAATAATTCCAAATTTGGATCTGTGATTGTGGCTTGCAAACATGACTGGAAATTCACGACTAGAAATAGAACATAACTTACTACTTGAATTAATCAGCTTAATAACACTAGATAGGCATCTAGGTATCTTGATTCCTCAAGGACTTTGTGAGACCTCAACCTTAATGGTCTTGTAAGGTTCAAGGCTTGCCCTATCTTGCTTTGGGGTGATTGTCCTCACCTAAAGGAAAGAATTGAAACGACTTTTAAGAGGAAAGCACGAATTCATGCAGTGAAATCTATGGCTTGTCTGTCGATAGTGAGTTAAAAAATATATCTTTTGTTTGATCTGAAATTTCTTATTCGCATTACAAATCTATTTATGAAGGTTCTAATGGACAAGGATCTAAACCAAAGAGGGGTAGGCAAAGAGCGAAGGTAATCTTCTTTTTCTTCTTCTTCCTTTTTTTTTCTTCTTTTTGTTTGTATGTCTCCTTAATTCTTAGTTACCTAAATCTTGAACACATTTAGTTCAAACATTTGTATCTTAGTTAAAAAAACTCATTACAGCCCCAGAGTAATCTCTCATCCAATGAAGCTCCTGCTGCTGCCATAGACATTGAAAGAGAAAATGCTATACCTGAAACCACACATTCACTAGAAGAACCTGATGGAAGTATTCCAGTGGCGGTGATTGAAAATAATGAAAGTAATCCGAGTAGTTTTGGCAAAATTGACGGCGACGAACAACAGAAAGCTGATAGTGAGGATGCTGTAACGGAGACATCTCAATTTGGATCAATATCTAATAATGACACCAAACCAGTGGGTGATCATATGAGTGAAGATGCTTGCACTAAGGCAGAAGGAATGGCTGCAAATGCCGATGAGATCGTCAATGGTGATCTCTCGATTAAAGAAGTTCCAGATCACTCACCTGGAAGTCAATCGAATGCTGGAAAAGACGTTGAGGTTGTAATTGGTGATTCTCCTGTTGATTCCAGTGAAACTACAATGTCGGAAAACGAAGGTTCTTTAAAAAGTAGAGAACCTTTGGAATCTCAAAGTATAAATGAAGATGCAGTACTTAAGGTAGGTTCTCAATCAGAAGATGTTGATTTAGTAACTGAAGCTGATATCCAGGATAAGCAGCACCAAGAGGAAAAAGTTGTCAACTCTGCTGCAAAAGTACAACAGCAGCTTGAGGAGGTAGAATGTGTATAATTTGAGAATGTTTTGTCACCAACTCTTTAGTTATAAGCTTTTAATGATTACAATAGTATGGACTAAACATTATAATGTGACAGGCTCAAGGGTTACTGAAAAGTGCAATTTCGACAGGGCAGTCAAAAGAAGCAAGGCTAGCCCGGGTGAGAATGGACATATTTTTCCTTATGGTGCTATTATATATTTTTTTTCCTCCTCCTAGCAGCAATTTGCTAATTTTTAATCGGTTTTTAGTGTCTTCTTGTTATAAGTTAGAAACTTTTCAATGGTGTTGTGTATTATGAAATGCAAAATATTCATGCCAACGTCTACTGTTGTAAAATGGATTTAAAGTTTCTATGTCCACTAGCCATATCATCCGACTGATTTTATGCTTTTCACTAAAAGTTGGCATTAAGTAACAGTTTGACAAATTTAAACATATGGCGTCAGTGTTTTAGATTTCTTGATGCAGTCCACACAATTGTCCTACGAGCACAGTGGCGAGTTTATTCCTTAAATGATACCGTAGTTGAGATAACTACTAGTGATATGGTATTCTTCTCTCGCAAGAGATTTGCTTTGATATACTTTAATACTCATAGGAAGTCATAGTTAAATTGGTGATTCCCTTTCTATTAAGAAGCATCTTTTCTGAAAGGTATTTATCAAGAATTGAATGAGATCTCTTCCATCAGTTCATGTGTGGAGATACAAATTTTAAATTGTTTAATAAATCCTAGTTAAACAAGTCATGCAAGTGTTAAAGGACTTTGGCAATTCTCCCCCTCACATATGAATATGAGTATTTTAAGAAAATTTTATTATACTTTATAGCTTAGATAAAATTAGGAAGTCCATATTGAGATGAAGAGGATGTATCTTGTGATAAAGATCGGACTAAGGACAGTTGGATGTACTATCCAAGAAACAAATAGAAGTACTGAATTGAGACGAAGATCCGTTTGCGGACGAATCTTGTGATAAGGATAGGACAAAAGACACAATTGGATATGATTATCCAATAAACATATTAGTACTGACTGGATTTCCCAGATTGATAAAAGGATTACTTGTTGGCTACATTAGAATGTATGAAATGGTATGATTAACTCCACAAGACCTTGCTAAGGACATTTGATCAGTTGTTAAACATTGACACCTCCATGATTTTCAATTTCACAATGTCAAATGCCACTTTTAGATGTATGATATATTAAGGGGATGCTTGGATATAATTTTTTTTTTTTGATTTGATTGGATTTTTTTTGTTTGGTTTGGTTAATTTAGAAAAAGGTGGTATGGTTAGTTGTTAGTGGGTATATTAAAATAATCAACAACAACATACCCAGTATATTCCCAACAGGTTAGGGTTTGGGGGGTCAGTTGTACGCAAACCTTACCCTTGTTTTCCGTAGCGACCCAAGGTGCATTGCGCTGTTTGATATATTTTTTTTTCTACAAACTTCACTAATAGAAGAACACTAGAATTTAATTGAGCCATTTTGATCTAGTCCATTATGAGCACTATGCCAGGAGAATTGTCCATTTGCAATGGACTTGTATATTAAAATAATATTTAAAATAAAATAATTAAAGTTGATTTGATGTAAAAGTAGGAGATAGATAATTTGAAATGATAGTTAGTTAAAATTATGTGAGTGGATGAATAATGAATTAAAGTTGATGTGATGTGTAAGAATGATTGGTTGATATTGTTCAATTATATTGATTATATTGATGATAGTGAGGTTGAGTTAAAAAAAATGGTTGAGTTAGAAATGTTTGGATTTTTTTGAGTTAGATTTGTATCCAAGCATCCTCTAAAACTCTTTTTGTTAAGAAACAAGAGATTTTTATTGAGAAAGGCATAATAAACAAGAGAAGGGACAAAGTAGTCCTAGATATTAAGTAGAAGCAAATCAACTATAATAAATAGCCCAAGTCTTAGTTATATTGCGCTCACAGAATGCCTTGAACACCTGGTGATTTGCCCTAAACTTCATTTATTTTCTACACCTCTATTTTTTTTCTCTGTATATTCAGAGTCTTCTTTCTGAGCAAAGTGATCAATAGAGCTTGAGAAATCACCCAAAACACTTGAACTGAGGTATTAGTAAATCACAAATATTCTTCTCAATGACATCAGAAACTGTTTGGTAGACTTCTAAACACCATCTCCCGTAATGCTCTATGCCATAGCCATAGGCAATGGGAGAAAGGGCTATTGAAAATAAAATGCGGTTCTGATCTTCCATTTGTTTTGCGCAGTGCGTAGGTTCCCCTTAAGTCGCGAGACAGAACTTAACCAACTTAGGTATAAGTCTTCCGAGCTTGAAGCATATTGCATATGGTAATACCTCTCATGGTTTCAAAATTACTCTTAAGTTACTGAAATTCAGCACTTCACTAGTACTTAAGATACATTTCTTGATGATATGTACTAGATTTTGGAAATAAAATTTACTGTGTAAAGTCCTAAGATTCTATGACTAGAAATGACTCTACCCCACGGATGATGAATCTTACCCTTTCCAAATAAAATGAATATTTACTCCTCTTGGGTTGATGTGTGTTATAATTCGATGGCTCATAATTTTCAAAGTAAGTCTTCAGTTCGGACATTAACTTGAACCCAACTTATATGAGATGCATTTGTGCTAAACAAACTTGAGTAACTTTCATCATTTGACCTTTTAACAGTTCTCTTTCACCTTTCTTTATATTCGTCGATAAGATTCATTAAACTTATTTAATTTGTCTAGCTCTTTTGTGATTAGAGCTCCTTGAATACTGAAAGGACTTTTCTTGCTTGGAATCGAGTTCTTGTTTAGTAGTTAGGATAAGGAAGCATAATGATTCTTTTTGCAATAATTGTTGTCTGTTATGGAAGCAAATACTCTATCTGTTAACTGGTCCTTGGTACATGTTTCTGGCTGCTGTATAGTATGAGTATTCATTGCATTGGTCAAAATAAAAATTATTTGCCTTATGGAAAATGCTTTTTCAGCAGATTATGGCAGTGCCATTTAGAAGCCCAATTTCCCCAAAGCTTCAAAGATCACTTTGTTTATGTGCAGATATTTTTCATAAAAATGTGCTACGAAGCTTAATGATTGTTGTGTTCAGGTTTGTGCTGGACTTTCATCACGCCTGCAAGAGTACAAATCTGAGAATGCTCAATTAGAGGAGCTTCTCATGGCAGAGGTGTGCAGTCGCATTCTTGATATGACTAAAGTTTAATTAGTGCCTTTTTAGTCTATCATTTAGGTAAGGATAACATTTTTTGTGGTTATATAATTTCTGTAACAGAGGGAATTGACTAAATCTTATGAGGCTCACGTAAAGCAGCTTCAGAAGGATCTGTCTGCATCAAAAAGAGAGGTAAGCAGAGTTGAGGCAAATATGGCGGATGCATTGTCAGCAAAAAATGCTGAGATTGAAACCCTTGTTAGTTCGGTTGATTCACTAAAGAAGCAGGCTGCTTTAGCTGAAGGGAATTTGGCATCGCTGCAGGTTATTTTTGATATTTTTGAACATTTGGAGAGTAATGATCATTATGTACTTCTAGAACCTTGGGGAATATAAGGTTTTCATGAGGCTGATCTTGAACCGCCATCCAAACACTTTCTCCTGAAATTAATGAGATGGCATTAGTAGAGGAAGTGGTATTTGTATAGTTATACCGTGTCCTTATTTTCGTTCTTCCCTTTTCTTTTGTGCTGTAATTGATGGATAGCGCTGACTGCTGTAATCCCTTGAAATTGTTGAATTGTCTTTATGAGAAACTTAAAACATTGTTTATTTTATTGTTCATGACCTTTTCCTCCAAATTCGTCCATATTACATTTTTACTAGACCTCCACTGCTGAAATGTCATGTAGATCTCAGTAGTTTTATGTTATTATACTACTACACGTTTCTTCCTGATTTTCATTTAATTAGGAAACTTATTTAGGATACTACCATTATTCACATCCATTTATATTGTTTTATCATGTCATGCATTTATACTCTTCTTACCCATCCTTATTTGTATTTGTCAGGCTAGTATGGAGTCTACAATGAGAAACAGAGAACTAACTGAAACAAGAATGATGCAAGTAAGACCACAGTGTTTTTCTTTTCTATTTTGATTGGTGACCACAGTTTTTTTCTTAAGTGCAAGCAACATGGTTTATGGTGGAGCTCTAACATAAAAGTGATTGATCTGATGCCAGGCCCTGAGGGAAGAACTGGCTGCTGCTGAGCGAAGAGCTGAAGAAGAGCGTTCTTCACATAATGCTGCAAAGTTGGTTTGTCACTGGTTCCCTTTGTTGTTTTGAACATATTCTATTATTTTTTGNCCGAATAATGATCTTCTGAATCTATAGGCAGCTAGAGAAAGAGAAGTAGAATTGGAACAAAGGGCTATTGAGGCATCCACGGCCTTAGCGAGAATCCAGGTAATGCTTGACAACTTTTTCATGTGAGCATAACCAATTTTTATTATTATTTTTATTTATTTTTTCATTTTTCTGTTAATGCTTAAGGTGGGTATGAGTATGATTAAATCTGTTCGGGAGGTTCAATTTCTGTAAGAAAAGTTTGACCAAACATTTAAGTCCAGCTAGTACGATGATGCCAAGCCGTATCTCTATCACTCAAGCTATTCCATGTAGAGTCTCTTAAATGGTACAATGCCAGTTTTGGCTCTCATTCACACAAACTTTAGCCCTAGCCGAATGGAAGTAGCATTACAATAGCCAATCTACCTGCTAAGTAGAATGGTTAGTAAACTTTAATAGATCTCTTTAAACGTAATTAGGCCAGTCTCTTGGAAGTTCTCAAACCTCAGGAGTCTAGTGTTCCAAAATCTTATTCTATTGAGAAATCTTCTTACGTGGCAACTTACTGTTCTTGAAGAGAGATTTTTTTTCCTCTCATCTGGAATCTCTTTACGATTGTTCACTGTATCCTATCATTGACACCTCCATTGGAATCTGGAAGAGATTTAGGGGATAAGTGTTGTCACTTTGTCAAATGAAAATATATTGACGGTGGCAGTCTTAGTTGGTGACTATTTGTTGTTAAACAGAACCGCAACCCTTAGGGGGCGATTGGAAATAAATCAAAACCGGTTTTGGTTGGATCTTGAGCTAAAGTGAATCAATTTTAAATAAAGTTGATTGAGTGGAATTTTGAGTTTGTATTCAAATCATATTTAAGGTAATGATTAAAGTTGATGTGATGTAAAAGTAGGATAGAGGTTATTGGAAATGATTGATAGGTAGTAAAAAATATGTGAGTAGATGAATAATGAATTAAAGTGATGTCATGTGTGAGGATGATTGATTGCATTTATTTAATTGTGTTGATAATATTGAGGAGAGTTGAGTTTGGATTAAATTTGAGTTGGATTTTGAGTTAAAGTCCAATCAGTCAAAACTGGTTTTAATCTGTAGCCAATCGCCCTCTTAGCCTCCATTTGGATGTTGGGATGTGAAGGACAAGATTTCGAATCCTTAATAATGAGTTCATTGGGTGTTTGGATGTAATGGATTTCAAATACCTGTGCTCCAAATTTGAACAAATTTTGGTGTCATTTTGTGTGCAACTTCTGGAGTCATTTTGAAATACTCCCTGGAAACATTGCCACAAATCTAGCTTCCCCCATTCAAATCCAACCTAAAACTTTCTTAAAGACCCTCCTGGTGGCTTTTTTGTATGTGGAATCAACTAAAACTTCTAACTTAAAGAACACGGCTATTCTTTGTGTACTTATAAATCAAAAGAGTATTTAACATTATAATTCAATATTATTATATATTATTGTTAACAGTCAGACTGATTAGTTTATGCATCTTGTATTCATCAGAGGACGGCAGATGATAGGACTTCAAAGGCAGCCGAACTTGAACAAAAAGTAGCACTTCTGGAGGTAATATTTATTTTTTTCATCCATGTGGCTCTGTTCTAAAAATCGGCCTGGGTGCTAGCGGTACTAGGCGGCACTTGGGTGCGTGAATTTTACTTAGGCGGTCATTCTAGGTGCTCGAATGATTGGACGACGTCTAGGTGCTTGGCGGTTGCGAAGTTAGTCACGTCTCACTAGGAGGCCTAGGTGCCAATATATTTTTTTCAAAAATTTTGAATTTATTTTTTAAAATGATAACAATGATTTTCAATTTTTATGCATAAAAGATATATTAATTATATAACAAAATAAAAGTAATCATATTAAAATTAACAAATAAATATGATTGTATTAGATTTTGCTTTTTGATTATAGTATTTAATATATCTCATATAATATATAAATAAATATCTATATATATATGCATGATGATAAATATAAATAAATTTTAATAATATTTTCACGACCCCGCCTAGGCGCTCTAGGAGCTAGGCCCAACCCATTACCTGGCGAGCGCTAGCTCCTTTTAGAACATTGCTTTTAGTTGGGGTTCAGTTGGACAATCCCAGTTCCTCTAGTGATTGAATAATTTAGGTTAATGATATAAAGCTGTATATAATTTGTGGTATTAGGTTGAATGTGCATCCTTAAATCAAGAACTGCAAGACATGGAAGCTCGTTTCCGTCGCGGACAGAAGAAGTCTCCTGATGATGGAAGTCAAGCTATTCAGGTTAAAAAATTTTAATTTTTTTTTATTGGACAAATTTGAAATTGTCGAGATGTCATATTTTAACCCCACATTGATTTTTTTTTTTCATACCTGTGTTAAGTGATCATCTGGACCATGTCATTATATTTTGTTTGTTTATCATCATAGTTAATATATTTATGGTATAGATTTGTTAATGTATATGGTATAGATTAGATACCAAATTAGTTGATTATGGCGATCCTGTAGATTAGGTCGTGATTTATTTTCCTTATTTGGTTTGGTCCTAGACTACTAGTATATATATCACTGTATATTGTACCTTGAACATACCGAATACAATTTGTTCATTTCAGTTGTACAATCATGATCTATGTCTATTGTAAAACTTATTGAAAGAACCAGAAAGGCAACATTTTTCTAGTTAAAATTGTATTTAAGAGAAATTCAAACATGTGCTACTCGTCTAGTGAATGCCAAAATACATGAGCTAGAGATAGTTTCTGATATGGATAGAATTGTATTATATTTACCAGAATAAGGAGTTATTGAATTGAGATTTTTTTCCAAAAAAAATTTCTAGCTGGATAAAAGCGATAGAAAGGTGAAGAAAAATTGGATTAATAATGAAATATTTTTGAGATTGTGAATGGAATTATAGTGATAAAAGTTAATTTGATGTATACATAGTTAAATATTGTTATAGTTAGATATTGTTTAGTATTGATTGGTAGCTAAAAACATGTGAGTGAGTGAATAGTGTTTTTTGTTGGTAAATGTATTGTAATGGTTAATTTTTTACTTTTATGTTGTATTATATGAGATAAGATAAGAAAAAGTGAGATAAAATGAATAGTGTTGTTTTAAAATATATTTTGTATTCAATCACATCTTAAAAGAAACAAAATTGTCCTGAGACAAAAATGAAAAAAAATATATAATCACACCCATACAATATTTATCTTATGTAAAATGGGGCTTTAGGCCCGTAGATACTAGAGTCGAGATATACATTAGGGTTAGATATTCTAATTATGAGTTGATAACTGTTCGGGAAAGCACATTGTGGAATAGTTCAGTTCGACTTTAAGTTCAGGCGGAAATCCTACTTGTTGTTCTCTAAGTGATAATAGAGATTTCATACCTTTCATTAGTGTAAATACCTTGCGTCCATCAGTTTTATATTGGATTATTATCAGATATGGAAATATACTTTGTTGTTCAACTTTCATGACTTGTACACCAGGAGATAATGGTTCAGCAGTGTGGCAAAATGACCTGCAGATGAACCATAAATAAATGTATCACTTAAGAAATAGTATTTGTATAACTTGAATGTAGTCGCGGACCTTGTGGTGATCATATTACATGGCTCTGGGAAAGGATTGTGTCAAAAATGAAGATATCTTTGAAATAAGTAAAATAGACCCAACCATCAAAGAAAATTCGAAGGGAACATCATATATACAAGAGACTGTTTAGGCATCTCTAGTAGAGTCTGTAATTTTGGTGTTATATGAAAATATTAAATATATAAGCCAATTCTTTTATTCAGTGACTAATTACTTCATGCAGTTTAGTAATCATGACTTGGCCAATTCTATATGGCTGATCTTATAACCTTAAGTTTCTTGATGATTTTTTATTCTTGTTTCAAACAGTCTTTTTTTATTAAGGGTTGAAGGTGTATTATTGTGTTGTTGGGTTCACTTACACTTGACAAGTGTGAAATGTCATATTGAAATAATGTAAATACATTTGCATCCTTGTGCTTATATAGTTATTTATTTGTTTTGTTTGTGCGTTGGGGGTGGGTGGTAGTGGGGTTACAGTAAATTATATTTAGTACAGGATTCACACTCGCACTGCATTGTAGTGAATCTAATTATAGGAAAAAATGCAATTTTAGTCCAGTTGGTTTGACACGTTTTTAGTCCTTGAGTCCTGAGATCTGAATGTTCTGCAAATTCAACTTCAATTGAAGGCCATCCGGCGACGAAAACTCAACTTTGTCGCCTGACAATTTACGTGACCCGCACGTGATAAACATTCCATTTTCTTATGATATGACAAAGCTACAAAGCAACCCGCACGTGATAAACATTCCATTTTCTTCTGATATGACAAAGCTACAAAGCAACCGGCGATGTGGCAAGAAAATAAATAAAAACAAAAAAAAAATATCCTTCTTGCCAATTTATCTACGGAAATTTCTATTACTCTTCACGCATGCCTCAGCTGGAATTCTTCGGCCCGTGCAAATCCTCAGTCCACGCGGTCGGCCGCCTTCTTCTCCGGCCGGTCCCTTCTTCCATCTCCGACCAGCCATCTGCAATTCTGGTCTGCAGCCTGCAGGCATCCGACGCTCAGCCTGCGTTCTCTCGTTGGCCAGTCCGTCCACCCCGGCGTCTAGCACCATGTGCAGTTTCCCGGATTGACTCCTCTAAGCGCGACCAGAATCAGCTAGTCATTGCCGGCGACGTAAGCTCGTAGCCGCAACCAGGCATTCGTCATCCCGTCCGTTCACGTTCAGGGGAGCCTTGGCCACGTCCGGCCATCAGCGTTACCGGTAGCCCGCGATCGTGGCCTTACGCCTCCCCATCCAGCCGCCCGGATGTGTGAGCGCCACCGAGTGACTGCAGCGCACATGGGAGCGTGTTGAACACTCGCCCCTCTTCTATTACCCTTTATTCTCCACACTTCCATTTGTGTTGATGGATTGAAATTCAATTTTTCCCCTAATTTTCTTTTCTTTTCTTTTCTTTTCTCTCTGTAATGGGGTGTCGTGGGGATAAAGCGAATTTCCATTAGAGAGAAAATAAAGAAAAAATCACCTAGAAAGCAAAGCACAAATTTGCCCCAATTTGGGATTTGTAATTCAAATGCCCCCTTTCAATTTTATCTCCAATTTCTGTTGTGGCTGATCTCCGAGGAACCCTAGCCCCAATTTGGGATTTGTAATTCAAATGCCCCCTTTCAATTTTATCTCCAATTTCTGTTGTGGCTGATATCTGAGGAACCCTAGCGTTCCTCCTCTCGCCAGCGTCCTCTTGCGATTGTCCCCATTTCAAATCGAAGAGGAGAAAACACGAATTTCTTCATAGAGGAACGACGAAAATGCTGTGTGATGAGATTCTCCAGGTTCATATGCGCCGGGATGGTGATGGTAGTGCTCTCCCTTTCCCTCCAATCCTTCCACCCGAGAGAGAAGGATATGTGTTTTTTCTTTTTTTCTTTTTATTATTATTTTTCTTGCCATCTCGTCAAGTTGTTGTGCCATGTCAGAAGAAAACGACCCAATGCTCGTCACGTGTGGGTCACGTGACAATTCAGGCGATAATGTTGACTTTTCGTCGCCGGAAGGACTTAGATGCGTTGAATTTATAAATCATGAGACTAAAACAAAACGTTCAGGCCTAGGACTAAAATTGCAATTTAGCCCTAATTATATATATGCAGTGATACTTATTTATCATATAAGTAATGTATCTTACGCTGGACTTAATTGGTTTGTTTTAATTTTTACTTACCCAAACAATTGACATATACTCATCATTTATGTAACGTAACACATACTTTTAATAGATTCCTAGATTTTAACTTATATTTGATGTACTTATTATATATTATTATATAATGCATCTATACATTGATGTATACGTATATTTTCTCGATGTATCCATTGGTTGCCCATCTTGCATTTTGAAATGCGATCCGTGAATCAACAATTTGGTTGTTACTTGTTACTTAGCTTTGTCTTGTGCTAAACTAGTGTTTATTTGGTATTAACATCTATATCTAAGTTATTTACTAAAAATAGTATGTGAAACTTCTCTACAAAATATTTGTTACGAGAAGTGGAAATTTTGTAGCTATAATTTTTAATCTTTTCCTTTTTGTTTTTTATAGTGCATTTTCATAAGAATAGCCATATTTTTGGTAATCAATATCTTCTGAAAGTATGATTGTGATTGTAATGATTACGTCCCTTATTATATAGAAACTAGTAATCATCCTGTCCACATGTATATAAAATAGTATAAGTAATATGTGAATTTAATATTAAAATTATAGATAAGGAACATATCACATTTTCATTTTCAAGATGATCAACTATATTGATTGAAAAAAGTTTGTGGGTTGTGTAATTTTTATAATTTGGAGGGATCACGGTAAATTTGTCCATTGCAAATGGAGCTGGAAGAGTCATTGTTGACAATTCTCCTGGCATAATGCTAATAATGGACTAGATCAAAATGGCTCAATTAAATTCTAGTGCTTCTTCTATTAGTGAAGTTTCTAGAAAAAAAAATATATATCAAACGGCGCAATGCACCTTGGGTCGCTACGGAAACAACCTCCTTGTATAATTACAAGGGTAAGGTCTGCGTAGAACTGACCCCCAGACCCCAACCTGTTGGGAATATACTGAGTATGTTGTTGTTGTTGTGGGGGGATCACGGTAAAATAATTTAGTTGAAAAAAATATTATTATTATTATTATTATTATAGAAATAATATTTTATAAAATTTTTATGTGGTTTGACTGTGATGTTAAAACTATTTAGCTAATTTTTTTTAGAGAAAATTGTTTCATGAGACACAAAAGAAAAAAAAAAGATAATGAAGAAAAAAATTCCCAATAGAATTGTTTATACTTATGTAATTTGTATTTGGAGTGAATTATTATTAGTTGATATTTACATTAACTATTATATAATATAATAGCTATATGATTACACTTAATAGGGTGTATTAATGTGAAAAAGAAAAAAAATATTAATGATAAACTTTTGTAACTGAAATGGGAGGAAAACCAAAACATTTTTTAAAAAAAAACATTTTTATAGATTGACTAGATTTCATTAGTAAAGTAATATGTATAAAACTAACCTTTCCATTTATCATAAATCTCAAGGTTTAGATATGTTTTTATTGAAATATTACAAGAAAATGAAATATTAAGGGGTTGCTTGGATATAATTTAATTGTGAGTTTCGATTGGATTTGTTGGTTAACCGTTGATTTAAAAAATTGGTCGAGTTAAGTTTGAGTGAAATTTTGATGGTTAACCAATTTTTTTTTTTTTAAAAAATAGAAAGTTGGTTGAGTTAAGTTTGAGTGAATTATTGAGTTTATATTAAAATAGTATTTAAAAGAAATAATTAATGTTAATTTCATGTAAAAGTAGTAGATAAATGATTGGATGTGACAACTAGTTAAAATTATGTGACGGTTAGATTTTGAATTTAAAAATAAAAATGATTGGATATTTGGATGTTGATTTGTATCCAAGCACACACCAATTGTAAATGGGTTACGAGACTTTATAAAAAAATAAAAGAAGGTTTGTACTTCAATGAGATATCTTTTACAATATTCGATTTAACTTTCATATTTAATGAACAAATTAAAAAAAATATTTCTATAAATAAAAGTTATAATTAAAATTTATTTAACAACAATAATCTGAAAAGAAATAATGAGCCTAAAACTTCTTGTAAAATAGGTTATAAATCAAACATATTATTAAACTAAACTTTCGTATTAATCAGTATAGGTTTAAAAAAACATTGTGGAGAACAAGTACAACAACAATAACAATAGCAACATACCCAGTATATTTCCAACAGGTTGGGGTCTGGGGGTCAGTTGTACGCATACCTTACCCTTGTAATTATACAAGGAGGTTGTTTCCGTAGCGACCCAAGGTGCATTGCGCCGTTTGATATATTTTTTTTTTCTAGAAACTTCACTAATAGAAGAAGCACTAGAATTTAATTGAGCCATTTTGATCTAGTCCATTATTAGCATTATGCACAACAATGACTCTTCCAGCTCCATTGTGGAGAACAAGTATTAATATAAAAATTGATATAAAAATGTATTTCAACCATCAAGTACGTATTATAGTAAAAGAGTAAACAACGGGTATTTTGTTGAATAAATAATGATAAGAAAAGAAAAATTAAACTATTCACACATATCTTTATAATTTAAAAAAGAAATTAATTGATTAATAAATTATCAAATATGATAATGGATAATTATGAAATTTGGTAAATTTTGACATATTATACCTCAAATATACTAATTAAATATTAATTATTATATATATAAAGTGTAAAAAAAATGATATATGTATATTAATTTATATTTCAACCCGTGCATCGCACGGGCATATTCACTAATTTGGTATGAACTAAGGCCTGATATAATTTACTTCTTTATTCAGTTATGATGATGGTTCGATGGTTTGTATCTGATTTTTTGTACCACATCAGGTGCAGGCATGGCAAGAGGAAGTGGAGCGTGCACGTCAAGGTCAGAGAGAGGCTGAGAGCAAGCTTTCTTCAATGGAGGCAAGTTGATTTTATACGATTGTACAAGTGTGTCAAGGTGGTATATTAGCTTATCACTTATTTGTCCAAGATGTCTCAACAAAACTTCTGCGAGATCTTCTTGTCACGTTTACTTTTTTGTGAAAGACCAGAAAGATATTACTTTCTAAACATGATCCGAAATAGCATCCTCGGTCAGAAAGTACCAACTATTACCTGAATCAATTAAAGAACTGATGCTTAAAAATTATATTGGGATAAATAATGGTTTTTCTATCGCTCGTCTGTCTCACCTTGAAGCTGAAGATCTGTCACTTATCTTGTAGGCCGAAGTTCAAAAAATAAGGGTTGAAATGGCTGCAATGAAAAGGGATGCTGAGCATTACTCACGTCAGGTAACTGGATTTCCGCATTCCCACACCATGTATTTTTTATTCTTATATGCATGTCTTGTTATCTGATTTAGTCGTGTTTGTAATGGATATGATCTAAATGCCAGTTATATAATTACATATATATATATATATATATATATGTATATATAGTTGTGTATCCAAAGTTTACTTGCTCTTTTGCTTTTGGTACCCCATTTTTTTGGTACCCTAAGTTTCATATATTAATAACATTTTGTAATGTACATCCTGTTAATTGGATGATGATTAATTGGAGATTTAGCTGTTGGATTTTCATAAAAAAACATTATTAGAAAGAGTAATTTTTGAAGAATCCAACTGGACACCTCGATCATAGGTCTAAACGTTGGATCATAAAAAACTGACCGACAAAGTATCCAGCAATGATTATTATGTAGAAATTTGATCTAGTGATTACCAGATCTAGAATTTTGATTGACGATCAGGAGATACCAGTGGTTTGTTCGACAAACATATTCGTTAGAAATTATCATTTTGTGAAAAATCAACGGTTAGATCTTGGTCAGGCATAGATCAACGATCGGAAAATGTAACAAGCTGATTAATGAATGGAACTTAGGATACAAAAAATGATTAAGTTGAAACTGGGGGCAGTAAAAGTGAAAGTAGGCAAACTGGGTGGGGGGGTTGATTTTCCCTAATTAATTAATTGTATTCTCATTTCATAAATCTTACTCTTCGTCTTTTCTTTATTTTTCATTTTTCAAACAAAAATGATTGCTTGTTAAAGAACAAGAATACAACGGAACTTGGAGTTTTACAAGAAAAACGGAACAATCGTCATATTGTTCTGCATTATCTAACAATGACAGATCTCTATGTCAAAACTATGAATATTTTTTATCTTCATAATAATACTGCAAATACATTGTGAGTAATATATAAGATAACTGATACGGATACATAACAGGAAACTCGAATTTTCTAACTAGAGAGAGGAAAATAAATTCTACAGGATCAAGAATAAATAAAGAGAATATTAAAGAGAATCAAGGAGATTTGTATTGCTCTAGATTCACGGCTCCACTGAGCTATGTTGGCAGAATCTTGTATTAAGTTTGTCGTTTCATAGTTAAATTGATCATTTTGTTTCCTCCTTTGTCAGATATTGTTTTAGGTTCTCATGTTTAATATTGTAACATAATGTTATATTATTTCCCCCTTATTTTTTCTTATGTTAAACTTATCACTCAATATTTAATGTGGGATTTATATGTATCTGAGCAGGAACACATGGAACTGGAAAAACGGTATCGCGAGCTAACTGATTTATTGGTAAACTTATGGATATGTATGTCTTATGCGATAATGCACATCTTAACTTGTTTAATGTTCCAACTATTACTTTGGTTTGCAGTATTACAAACAAACACAACTGGAAACTATGGCCAGTGAGAAAGCCGCATGTGAGTTTCAGATGGAAAAGGAATTAAAGCGTCTTCAGGAAACACAGGTCTGAATTCGGTGTGTATTATCATTTATCGTCGCTCATTTTTTTTTACCTGTACTTTGTCGCACTCTCCTGATGTAATCTGTTTATCCAAATAGTTGGAAGCAGAAAGAAATAGAGCTTCTCGTCGAATGTCATCATCTTGGGAAGAGGACACCGATATGAAAGGACTTGAGTATGTTCTCCATCCTCTAAGTACTTCTGTAGTGCATTCAGCAAGATGTTGTAGACTTGTGGTTGTGATCCGGCCTTTGATTATTGATTATTGGTATTTTGTTGTTTATCATGCGAAGTTGGATTGTTTATCTTTTGATTTTCTACTCAATAATATTTTTGTGGAGCTTATTAATTGCATATTTATGCAAACCTTTTTTATTAAGAAACGCCCATCGTTATGGAATTTGTCCAAATGCATATATTTAAGTAATTTAAAAGGGCTGTCTCATCTCTAGTGTATGGCTTATATGTTATTTCCTGAAAATCTTTTCGTTTGAGAGAAACTTGACTCTCCATTTGTATGACTTTTGACCTGATGAGAATTGGTATATTTCACTCTTGTTTTAAATCACAACAAGCAATTTTGAAGTATAAAATGATGTTGAAATTCTTATACCTGAGTTGTACAATATCAAAAAAATTTAACAAGTATAGCAATCCTATTTTCATTTTCATGAGCCATTAACAACATATGAGAGATGTGAAAGTGAGAATACTGTTGAAACTTTGTTGGTTGAGTTCCATCTAATTTGACTTATTGGTATCCTTAAGTAGCATGAGAAACTACTATCAAAATTTTATTCTTTAAAACCATATATTTGTTATTTTCTTCACTCCTTGTGTGTTGTTTCTTTTGTCTCATATTCTATAATTTCAGGCCTCTCCCCTTACATCATCGGCACATGGTTGGGGCTAGCTTACAGGTTTGTTTTGTTTGTCTGATTTGTCAAAACCCTCTCGGTGTGGAACTGTCCTCTTAACACTCTTAAGTTTGCTGATTTTTGCTGACCAATTGCAGTTGCAGAAGGCAGCAAAACTTATAGATACTGGGGCCGTCAGGGCCACAAAATTCTTATGGCGGTATCCTACTGCCCGGGTTATCTTGCTTTTCTATCTGGTGAGCACCAACAACACTTAGGAGTTTAGTTGTTTGATTATTTTATCTATTTAAGTTTTTTACGAACTTTTTTGTTGTAATCTTCTAGCATGAAATGATGCCAGAACAGTATTGCAAGAGAGTGCACCTTGAATTGCCTGATGTGAAAATACTCCTGATGTTGCCAGTGTTGGAGCATAGATGAGTAGGCTAGAGAACTGTTAAATAGGCTGCTGATGTACAGCTTTAGGAGGGATTTTCCTTGTGAAGCTAGCATCTTCGTCAAAAATATCGAGTTTGCACCTGTCAACTGAACCATACATGCTATAAAGATGAATGCTTAGAAAGTAACCCAATAGGTAGAGATATCATAATGGGCCAGCCTGTGGTCTGAGGGTACGAGATCTGAAGTGCAACTGATGATTGTTTGACCGTTGCAAGGACTGCACATACAACAATGTCTGTTGCTACTTTGGGCAGTGGCTGGTGGTTTGAGAGTACAGAGAGCCTATCTTTATTATTTATTATTTCTATATTTTTGTAATTTTCTCTAATCTTCAGAGTTCAATCTCTCTCTCTCTCTCTCTCTCTCTCTCTCTCTCTCAAATGAAAGTGAAACCCGACTTGCCCATTCGTCGGGGCAGGCAGCAGAGCGGCTCGCAGGCCCAAGCCCATTTTGACATCCCTATACAGGCATAGAAACCCATTAAACACATATCACAACAAGGAGAAAAGATGACAGCTGCTATTAAATATAAAAAGTCAAATTAAACTTCCTTTTGTTTTTGTACTCAATTGTATGTTACTTGCTGCTAGTGGGAAAACCATACTTATAGAGCTTTGCCATTGTATTTCAGATTTTACATTTCAAAATAAATTAGAGGGCTGAACATGGATATAGTTTATTCTTTTCTCTGGTTGCCATTGTATGATACACCACATCAAGAGCAAGGTCGGGTAATCATCACTATGGTTTTTTAATTCACGCTTATAGCAAATTTTGGTGCGAGCCCCAATATCTTGCAGTATTGCATTGATAAGTTCGAAGAAAAGTGATAAGAAATGTTGATTAGATTAGTATGGTGTGCACCATGTGGCTTGATTGTCCAAATTCATTCTCAAACGCATAGCTAATTAGAGATGATATATTACCACTGTTGAGTGCCTGGAGTGTACCCAGCATAGAAATGTTACATGGTGTTATACATGGAACTACATGGAAGCAAAGACATTTAGACTCGAGCCTACTTAAGACTTGTACTAAGGTCCTTCTTGCATGCTTTAGAAAATTAAATGTTGTTTTTCTAATGATACTATGTGGTTATTTTTGACAGGTATTTGTGCATCTCTTCTTGATGTACCTCTTGCATCGCCTTCAGGTAATGGAGATTCGCGTTACTTACTCGAACAAAAAGGATGAAAGCATAGTGGTTATAAATCTTCCAAAGACGACTGAGTTTGAGAACAAAAATGCTGTTATGTTCATGTGTAGTGAAAAATTTGGAACTAAAAAATCATGTCGTGAAATAAATTGATGTTGTGGGTCGAGAAAAACTAGTAAATTATTTTGGTGAGACTTGGTGCCATTTCGTTAAGTTCATCCCATCAATTGAATTATCTTTTAGAAAAATTTGAGTCATACATTATAGAAATAATCCTCAGTCTTGCTACAAAAAAAATAGTTTTCTTGAAATTATTAATCCTCACTCTTGCCGTTTCGTCAAGTCCACCCCATCATGCACAACTGCTTTCTTTCTTCCCTATTGTATTTGTCCCAGCTATGCCTTGGGTAATTAGATTGAATTTCATGTGAAGGCTCTGTTGTTTAAGAACATTAGTGGCTTTCCTGCTGTCGCATCTGCTTAGAATACAATTATGTCGTGCCAGATTTTGTTTGCTTGATTTATATCCTAATCTAATAGCATGATATCTTCGGATGGTGATGACTTTTGAGTGGATATATTGCCAACAAAAGAAAAAGGATGTTTGCAGTCTATTAGGCTTGTCCTTCGATTTAGTTGAGACATGAAAACACTGAACATTTGTTTCTGTATGATGAGCATGATGAGCAGGAGCAAGCTGATCGTTATACATCCAAAGAAGTTGCAGAAACCATGGGGCTATTTAACAAGACACTGCCTTGAACACGGCATAACTGGTAGCTGCTTCCCATTAACACTATTGCATATTAACTGGCGCGAAAGAATGAGTTGGTGTTTTTCGTTCAAAGTATTCCGTGCAGTTTTCGCTTTCCTATTATTTGAATGAAGATTATTGTCATGGGGACTGTTGCTAGTGCTTGTCCAGATGGTGATATACATATATATGTACACCAGACCCCTATTATACAAGGCTGCAATGTGAATGGCTCTGAAAACTTGAATTTTTTTTTTTTCCAAATTCTTAGGGGCAGTAAACGTGTTGAAGTTATACGCGCTTTCTAGAGTTTGATATGTTCATTACATCTAACCAAGTTACCTATACATGTAAGCAGAATACGACTATTTTGTTTTTTCACACTTTTTATGTGGAAAAATTCCGTTACAGGATTAAGTTTTTATTTTAATCTGTCAAATTTGGGTCTAGAATGGTTAGGCCCCGTTTGTTTTTCAGCATTTTTGCCAAAACACTATTTTAACGGTTTTGACAGGATTGAGAAAAGCTAAAATTAGTTTTTTTGGCGTTTGGTAAAACAATTGTTGAGATTAGCTGATGGTCTTGTTTGGTAAGTAGCGGTTAGCTGTTATGGCATGATTGGTAGGAAGGAATAACATGAGAATGAAATGGTCATTCCCTTACCCATTTCTTATCCCATGATTGCTATATTTTTTGGGAAGGAATGACCATTCTAATGGGAATGGCAAAACCCATCTTCATGGGATTAGCCATTCCTTAATAATGGAAAGTTTTCTCATTCCCATGTGTGTAGGAATCAATTTTTCAAAAAATAAAATATATTAATAAAAATATATTATTTTTTAAACAATATATTATTTTTATATATTAATAAAAATATATTATTTTTTAAACAATATATTATTTTTATATATTAATAAAAATATATTATTTTTTATATTATTAAACAATATATTATTTTATTTTTAAAAAGCATTTATATATAATTTATTAAAAATATATTATTTTTAAAAAAAATTATTTATTTTTATAATAAAAATGATAATGTCATTCCATTCCAATCTTATTCTTTCTGTATACCAAACGTATCAATGACAAAAACATGTTTCATTCTATTCCCATAATCATTTCATTCTTCAATTCATTTCATTCCTACAAAATTCCATTCCATCATACCAATTAGAGATGTTAAATGGTCTTTGGCCCGACGGGCCGGCCCGTTTAGCCCGAAAAAAAAACAGGGTTAGGGCCTTTTATTGTCAGCCTGTTTAAATCTGGGTTTTTTAGGCCCGAACCGTTTAGCCCGAAGCCCGTTAGGGCTAGCCCGAAAACCGCTAGGTCTAGCCCGTTTAACTTGGGCTGGGTGGTGTATATGTTTTTAAAAAGGTAAGTAAAATGTCTCATCCTTGTATGTTACAAGTTTGTTATTCTACTTCACATGTAATTATGAGTTATAATGTATTATTATTATTATTTTGATAGATAATTATTAATAAATTTTATTCTATTTCACAGCAAAATATTTAAGCCAATCAGAACAGCTAATAAAAAACAAATGAGACAAAAATCTAACACATAGAATATAGTGATAGAATATAAATTCACCAATATGTTATATTGTGAAAATTCCCGAAGCGTACCAAATAACTAGTCAAATGGTAGTTATAAGTAATAGTTCGAACATTTTTTTTTTTTTATTGAAAAACAATATGTTATTTAAGAGTTTGTAATGTGTGTTCATACATGAAGTGTAGTTGTATATATATAGTGGTAAATAGTAAATAACCGTTGAAAAAAACCGTTAACTAGGTGTTGTAATTTATTATTATTATTATTATTATTATTATTATTATTATTATTGTTGTTGTTGTTATTGTTATAGCCCGTTTAGCTCGAAGCCCGCTAGGTTTAGGGTTAGGTCCTTTTTTTGGTAGCCCGGTTAAATCCGGGCTTTTTAGGCTCGGACCGTTTAGCCCGAAGCCCGCTAGGGCTAGCCATTTTAACATCTCTAATACCAATCATGTCATTAGTTGTTAGCGGATTGCATTAGCTATTTTGACCAGCGAATTGTGTTAGTTGTTTTGACCAGCTGATTATGTTAGCAGTTTGTAAGAAAGCGTTTGGTAAAATTAGCTATTTTTAATTAATGATTAACATGAGAAATTAATTATAACGACATCAACATACATTATCATTCTATTGAACTTATAATTAGTTAGGAAATAAAAATAATTAATATTTTAATAATTATTAAAGTGATTTAAAATATAATAAAAAAATAAAAATATTTCTTAATCGAGTAAATAAATTCACGTCATATAAACAAAGCCGTGCAATTATTAAAAACAGTATGCATCTATTCTAATAAATATGATTATTAGTTCAACTTAAAAAAGTAATGGCCTTGTTTGGCGATCAGCGAATAGTGGATAATGGATTGTATCAGCGGATTATATTAGCTGATTTGATTAATGGATTGCATTAGCGGTTTTTAAATAAGTGTTTGGTAAATAGCTGAAAGCTTATAGCTGTTTGACATTGCAAAATGACCAATAAGGATATTTTATTATTTGGGGTGTATTCTTTTAATAATAATATATTGAAATTTTTAATATTTTTTAGTTGGTAATTTATATATATATTATTTTTTTTTAAAATTTATTAACACTTGATGAAGAAGTTATGAAACTTTTCTAGATAAATTAATCATATGAATGACATATTATTATTTATTAGCACCACAAACCAATGTAGATTGTAAAATAAATAAGACAAATTAAAAGTTCCAAGTCAATGATTTCACGTGCATAATTACAAAGTTTTCAAGCGTTTGAAAGTACAAAAATTTCATAATCATGTCTATTGAAACAAATAATTCAAATGATCAAGCAGCACGACGACGTCTAGGTTGTCTAGTTGCCATCAAACTAGCAGTAATATTGTAATATCCCATTCAGTAATTAATAAAAATAATTATTCTAAGTATGAACTAATTACTTTTATTAATGTTCGTTCCTAGTTCGAGCCAGTTATTAAGTTATTCAGTTAAAAATTCGACTTTAAGTCGAAAGTATTCTCGGTTCAATATTATTCAGTAATCGAGCCAGTTCAGTAATTAATTAATTCCGGTCTGTTTATTTTTATAAATGGATTTATAAGACGGGATTAATTAATATAAGATGACGAATAATCGAAATTGAGTATATTTTGATTAATCGTTTAAGATAAGTAGTGAACTGAAACCAAGTATGTTCGGTCATGAGTTGAACTTAATTAAGAAATAGCCGAGCCTTAGTACTAAATACTTAGAATTTTTCTAAGTGTTTAAGTCATCAAGATAAGATCATAATATTGAGTTTTAGCATAAGTTGATACAAGTTAAGTCTTGAAGTAAGGTTAAGTATCCATGAACATTTAAGTGGTAAATGTTCAAAGAAGTGAGAAAATTTATTTAGACATTATAGTCTATTTAAATTATTTTAATAGAAATCGAAATTTTTAGAATTTTCGGTTTTACGGTAATCGTTCGGGTTAAGTCCGAATGTGGTTCCGTAAATGTAGAATATTTCAAGATAATTATATTAGATCCTAAGAAGCAATATGTTCATTAAATTGAAGAAAAAAGGGGAAATTGCACAAAATCCCCCTGTGTTTTTATAAATGTGCGCGCTATCCCCCTGTGTTATATAAAATGCATACAATCCCATCATGTTTTAGTGTCGACGGCTCACGCTCCCCTTTTTGTCCCTGGGTGCAAACACCGTTAGTTATTTTACAAACTTCCCGTTATGTCCCTTGGTTTAGAACAGTCGTCTCACATTCACATCCATTGCTACAGAGAACGAAAAACCCCAAATTCGAAAAATCTCAACAACGAAAAATCACAAATTTCAAACAAATGTACTAAATCGACGAAGAACTTCTGTTAATCTCACGTCGATGGCGACTTCTTAATATCTTTCAATATGGTCGAAGAAGAATTGATTCATTATTTTCAGTCCGCGACAAATTAGGATTCTCATTCTTGCTGTCGATCTCATATACTAAGGTATTTTCACGTTGCCTTTCTTCCTATGTTTTAATAGATTGTTTATGTATGGTTGAACCTTCAAAGCTTGTTTGTTGAATGCATATATGAGATTAGGGTTTGCAGTGTTCTGTTTATTTCGTAATCTTTGCTTGTCATACAAATTAGGGTTGTTTATGTTAATGGTCCTTATGTGAAATGCAAATGAGATTAGGGTTTGCAGTGTTCTACTTATTTTCTAATCTTTGCTTGTCATACAAATTAGGGTTGTGTTTTCTATATAGTGTGATTTGTATATGTTAATTGAATTGAACCAACAATATATAGTGTGCTTTGTATATATTGTGGTCCCTTTTGTTTTAATTTACATACTCCATTACATTAACCAATTAAATTGATCATTTTATTCTTGTTTTTATGCAGGATGGCAGCCTGTTTTGATGTTAGAGTTGGGGGAGAGATAAAATGGGAGCCTTTTCGGCACTATTTTGGGGGACAGAGGGTTGCAGTTCAATGGGATAATGTGGACAAGTTGTCCTTCTTTGAAATCATGGATATCTACAGGCAAGCTGGTGGCAAATCATCAACTGTGGAAATTCATTCACATAAGCCTGGGAAGACCCTACAGATAGCAAAGAAGCTCATGAAGATAGACTCTGATAAGGATATCATAGAGTTGGTGAAGAAATATGAAGGGGTTTATGTCATTCCACTATACTTCGAGGATTTACCTGGACCTATACAACAGATGGACATTGATGGGAACATCATTACTTCACAAGAAGAGATACCTCTTCTTGAGTATCCCCACACTCAAGAGAGCTTTATAGCGGAGTTGTATGATGACCAACAACCATCACACATGGAGTTTGATGAGGATGGTTCCCGATTTCATGAGGCTAATGAAGAAACTACAGAAGCCATAGCAGAAGAGGTATCTAGGGGTGAACCTGAAGGCCAGAGAGATGATGTACCTTATGAAGATGGAGTACCACATGGTGACAGCCAAGAACATGAAGTGCCTCTTCAGTTTGAAGCACAACATGAACAATGTGAATCACATGGTGGCCAAGAACCTGAGATACCACATGAGACTGCACCACAGGGAGAATGTGAATCACATGATGAGGATGAAGGACACCAAAGCGAGGAGGATGATGATTCAGATGATGAAATGTATGTACCTGACCAAAGTAGTGATGATATGTCATCTGAATTGTCTGAATGGGAGCTGGAAGATCTAGAAGGACCTGAAGATGATGATATATTCCAGCACAGGGATCCTGATCATGCTAAGAAAGTTCACAAGATGGCTAGAGAATGGATGAAACAGAGAAGAAAGAAGAAAAAAGCAGCAAGAGAAGAAGCTGAAAATAAGAAAAAGTGTAATGAATATGATTGGTACAGTGATGTTGAAGATGATGAGCAGTTGTCTTAAATGGATGATGAATGGAATGATGGCATGAGTACGACAAGTTTTGAGTTGAAGGTTGGTATGAAATTCCCTACCAGAACCAAATTCAAGGATGTTCTTAAAGACTGGTCTGTCAGAAAGGGTTATGATTTGAAATTTCCAAAGAATGAAGCTAAGCTCATCACAGCAAAGTGCAAAAGTGGGTGTGACTGGAATTTGAGGGCCTCAGTCATAGCTGATATGTCAACATTTCAGATCAAGACCCTGAAAGGCACACATTCATGTGCCTATAGGACAGAAAACAAACAAGCAGATTACAAGTATTTGGGGAGAAGGATGATGGACACATTGAGAGACAATCCTGGTGAGCCACTTCGAAGTCTGAGAAACAAAATTAAGAGAGATTGTGGAGTTGATATAAGCATTCATAAGGTGTACAGAGTTAGAGCTTATGGTTTGTCATTGTTGAAGGTTGACATTGGGGAGCAATTTAGGAGACTGTATGACTACTGTTCCACTGTAGTCAAATACAACCCTGGTAGTAGCCTTATCCTAAAGCTCAACCATGACTTCACACCTCCAAAGTTTGTGAGGATGTATGTTTGCTTTAGTGCAATGAGGCAGGCCTTTGTGACTGGATGCAGACCCATTATAGGGCTTGATGGATGTTTTCTGAAGACTCTACATGGTGGTCAACTTCTATCAGCTGTTGGTAGAGATGGCAATGACAACATGTTGCCGATTGCAATGGCCTATGTGGAAGTTGAGAAGGTGGACTCTTGGACTTGGTTCATTCAGAAGCTGTTAAGAGATATAGACCCATACCTAGAGAAAAAGTGGACCTTTGTTTCAGATAGACAGAAAGGCTTGATTGATGCTATTGGTAAAATCCAAGGGGCAGAACACAGGTATTGCTTGAAACACATGTACAATAATTTCAAGCAGAAATGGGGTGATTTGGAATTAAGAAAGTGGTTTTGGAAGGCAGCCAGCACATACAGTGTGAGAGAACACATTAGGTGCATGAAAGAAATCCAAAGGTTTGTCCCTAAGAAAGATGGCAAGGTGACTCCATTTGAGTGGCTCAAGGCTATCCCTGAAGAACACTGGGCAAGGCGTTCTTTCACTCCAAATGCAATGTGTGATGTAATTGTGAATAATCTATCAGAGTCTTTCAACAGTTACATTTTGGAAGCTAGGGATATGCCTATCATAGACATGTTTGAGTGGATAAGAAGAAGAATGATGGAAAGGATGCAGGTGAAGAGAACTGGTATTGAAAAATATGCAGAGGATATATGTCCAAACACAGTAAGAAAAATTGAAGAGAAAAGGATTTTAAGCAGAAATTGTTTCCCAACTTGGGGTGGAGAAGATAAGTATGAGGTGGTGCATGGGGTTCAGAGTCATGTTGTGCAATTGAATGCTAGAAGTTGCTCCTGTGGCATGTTTCAGTTGGTTGGGTATCCCTGTTGCCATGCATTAGCATGCATCTCATATCACAGGTTTACTCTTTCCAACTATGTGTCTGATTTTTTCAAAAAGGAGATGTATGTCAGAGTGTATAGTCATATGATCAACCATGTTCCAGGGATGAATGACTTTGAAGATTCTGGAATGGGCCAAGTTCAACCACCTGATCCTGTGAAAAAAAGAGGTAGGCCAACAAAAAAAAGGAGGGCTGATGGTAATGACATGAAGACCATGAGAGGAAGTGCCAGCAGAAAGGGTCATCTTAAGACCTGCCAATTGTGTGGGGAGAAGAATCACAACAAGAGGAGCTGCAGGAAAAGGGCTAGGGAAAATTCTGGTGCACCTGAACAGGTAAATTTATTATTTTCCATAATTTATGCATTCAGCTTTACAAAATTCTTAAGAGCTTCACATAATTTATTGCTAAATATTGTTTTTGACTTCCATGAACATTGCAGCAACATCCATCTCAGCCTACTACTGATCCTGTTGAAGACTTTTTCCACAACACTGGCCCTCAAAGCTCCACTCAACAAAGCATCTAGTGCCTACCAGCTCAAGGTGTGTTGAAATCTGAACCACTTATTTGTCTAGGACCTTTCATTGTTTTTTGTCATAAGGGCAATGTTTTCCAAAATCTGAACCACTTATTTTGTCTCTTAAGCATATTGGTCAGTTATTTTGTGTAAGTTGAAGGTGGTATGGTGGTACATTTATGACCAGTTATTTTGTATATGCTATTGATGTTGGTTGTAGGCCATTGGTGTTGGCACTTTTGTGTAAGTTGTAGGCCATTAGTGTTGGCATTAGTGCATATTTTGGCTGGTTGTTATTTTGTAAGCATGTTGCAACAAGGCTGTTTTGGTTGGTATTTATAATATGTTGGTATTTATCTTGTTATAAGTCTGTTTTGGCCTATATGTTTTGTTTATTAATGCAGATAGTATATTGGTAAATATGTTGCTGTTTATTAATGCAAATTGTACTATATTGGTATTTATGGTGCTACAAATCTATTTTGTAGCTTTGTTTTGCATTTATGTTGTTGGCCAGGATATGTTTTGCATTCAACTAATGTTCATTTTGTTCATTCTAATCTTGAATTTCATACAAAATAAAGGCTTACATTATCAAGCATTATATTCTACAATTACTTGAGCATGATAACCGCTACAAGGATTACAATTACAAGAAAAATCACTCCATTGTTAAATCTTTTTTCCAATTTCTCCATCCTTGAATGCATCTCCTTTAGCATTGACCTGACTTCAGCATTTTCATGTGCTAATGTTGCTCCAGTTGATTGAACTTCATCATCATCTTCACAATAATCTTCATTTTCATGAGCACACGGCTTCACCCAATTCACTGTTGTCGGTTTAAACCAAGCAAAAAACGTACATTTGTTGTTCGGACAATTGCAAAATAGCTTTCCAACCGTTCTTTTTGTAGGACCAACTACCCTGATTTGTGCACACACATTGCAGTAACACTTTAGATACCTGTATCGTGAATCCAAGCTTTCAATCTTCTCCATCTTCGATTTTTGGGACATTTTTCAGCCTGCAAATTTTAAAGTATGAAATATTTAGGGTTTATGGTGCATTTCCTGTATTTGGATCCCTAGAATCCGGGCAAAACAGGAAAGCTTTAGAAGTAGATTCGAACCCAACGAACGAAGCGAAGTTTGTGCCAAAAAAAAAAAAACTGAAGGTTGTGAAAAAAAAAGTTGAAAGCTGCGGAAAAAAAAAATGGCAAACATACCTGTTTTTTTGCTCCCAGGTGGTAGAGGAATTTGTGAGGAAGAAGAAGATATAAGGCAGGCATATTTAAAGAGACTCAGTAAGGGTAAAGTATTTTACCCAAGAAAAAAATGTGAGTAAATAATTTAAATTTTAAAATTTTTAGTTTTACGGTAAACGTTCGTTTTAAGTCCGAATTGAGTTCCGTAAATTGTATTATTCTCGGTTTATTAGCATGATCCAAGACCATATATGAGCATTACTTTTCAGTAAAAGAGTGTTAAAAATCAGCCATTTTGAATGAAAACGCATAAGTAATAAAAAAAAAATGATTTTTATTATTTTTATTATTTTGTTCCAAAAATTTTTATATGATGAATGGTGACATATTTTCAATAATATATGGAATCAATTACATCACATTAAGCAAGAAATGTTGGTCATCAATTGATGAGAATGAGATGAGAAAATCACAACAAAGTTTTGTTAAATCTTTAAGTTAGCATTTTTTTTCAACAATTGATGAGAATTTTATTAAGCTTGGTGGAATAAGTTTTATCTACCAAAAAGCTCACTCATGGCTATAACTAAAAGCTCACTCATGTCATTTAGTTTAGTATAACTCAATATATGAAATTTTAAAGTTTATCATGCAAGCTGAATTTTATGTACTTGTTTCCAGCAGCAACTTTAAACTTGAATAAGTCGAGATATATGCATGATAAAATTTTGAAATTTTTATAACATGTCTAAATATGAGTTAAGAATATGACTGTTAAGTTTCATAATTTAAAGATGAGAAATGAATATGTTATGAGTATAAGAAAACATATATGTAAAGGTAAGTATATATATGCAAGAATATTCATGAAATGTTTAAGTTGTTAAATGAGATGATCATGAGTAATTCTCATATAAGTGATGAGTAATTTGATGAAGTTTTGGTATAATATGTTTAGTATACAATTTTATAAAGATTGTATTAAGTATGACATATTAACATCATAATTAAATGTTATGAGTAAAAGATGATTATGGCTTGAGATTATTTTCACTTTCAAGTTAATTACGTGAAAATTTAGAATAAGCCAATATCTAAAGATTGAGAAATATGATGTATGATGAATTAAGTATTTGATCAAATTAAATTAAGATAAGTTATAAATCATGTGGATGATGTTGGTAAAAGTAAGCATGTTTTAAGTTTAAATACTCAATCAAGTATACCGGAACATTCCTTCTTGTGAAGTTCAATCTATGCCAAGTTCACTCCATAATACCGACACTCTCTACATTGCAATCTTGCAGTCTCTTCATTTCAACTGATAGTCTCATCAGTTGAAATTAAGATAAGTTATGAACAAAAATATATTCTCTCAGGTGGGAGTGCGATTCCGTCGATTGAGGGTCGATTTCGTCGTCTGAGGGCACATTCCTTCTTGTGAAGTTCAATCTATGCCAAGTTCACTCCATAATACCGACACACTCTACATTGCAATCTTGCAGTCTCTTCATTTCAACTGATAGGCGGCTCAAAGTTCTAACCTAATCGTCTAATGGGAACACCAGGGGAAGATAGCGGAACAGCAGAGGATATGGCTCAACGGCTAAAGAACTTCTCCCTCTCAGGGGAGGAGAGCTTGGTCATTGACCTGGGTCGCAATGATATAAAGTGTAGCGCGGAGGAATGCAGCAGAAGCCTGGTGGGCAAAATTATAGGCAACAGGCGAGCCTCCCTCATTGGACTCAAAAGAGCTCTCATGAACATATGGAGAATCCAACAAGGTATGGAAGTGCGTGAAATCTCCTCGAATTTCTTCCAATTTATATTTGAACACAAGGATGATATGCAAAAAGTTTTGTTGGGTACCAACTGGATTTATGAAAACCAGTATTTAGTACTGCACAAATGGAGAAGAGGAATCAGTGAAAAAGACAACTGTTTTCAAGAAATCAAGCTCTGAACTCAGGTCCATAATGTGCCAATGGATTGGCTTAGCAGAGATGTAGGCTTGAAAATTGGTCAAGTTTTCAAAGCCACACAAAATATAGGGATCACTACTGCAGTAGGAGGCGGTAGAATCATAAGACTACTAGTCTCAGTGGACATTAATAAGGCTCTTCCAAGATGTACCTCACTCAGGCTAGGAGATGAACTTATCACCGTGGCTTTCAAGTATGAGAGGCTCATCAACCTGTGCTATTACTGTGGCATGATTGGCCACCTTGATAGAGATTGTCAGAAAATGGCAAGGGACATTGCAGAAGGACAAATCAAAGAAGGGCAATATGGCACATGGTTGAAGGCACCAGAAGTTAGAAACAGCTATGTCTCTGGGCAAGGCAGCTGTAATGCCCCATTTATTTGTGATTTATTTGTAGTAATTATTATTATTATTATTATTATTATTATTATTATTATTATTATTATTATTATTATTGTGATAATATTTATATTTATTTTTCTTGAATGCCATAATATTTATTAATTGTCAAATGTGATTAAATGCTAAATGTGTAATTGTCTAATTGATTTTTGTGATATATTTAATTATTAATGTGTATTATAAAAATATGAAATATATATATATATATATATATATTGTTCGGTATATTTTATCGCGCGTTTGCATTCGAAATCGAGCCTGAGAATTTTCGTTGGAAACGAAATTGAGCCCGAAGATGTCCGTTTAAATTTTTAATCGAGCCCGTGAGCCG